AATATGGAGGTTGACACGGGAACGGCAGTGTGATGCATTAGCGAACAAACTTATAAGCTATATTTTAGTACCATTAAGTTAGTGATTTCTTAAATTTACGCGAACACTACACATTGAATAAAACTAAATTTACGGATTTTATCGCGTTTATTTCACTACTTTTACTTATTTTTAATTCCCGACGTTTCGGGTGCTTTACAGCATGTTAGCCCGGCTACCTTCAGTTTTTGAATATTAATTTTTGGTCCGATTTACGCAAAACGAACTTACAGTATCTTGAAGTCTTGCAGTGGTATGCTTGGGTTTGAGTTTAATTTTGTTAATTATAGGATCCCAAGCAGATGTCAGCACCCAACCATCTTCTCTATTGAAATTAGGATATTTTTTTAATTTCAATAGCCTCGCGTATCATCCTTGGTAGGAATCGGTGTTCTTTTGCGAGGACTTGTGGTTTATCAAATCTGATGTAATGGTGGGGACGATCTGCGGCGCCCGAGCAAACGTTTTTGCATTTTGTTCAGCAATCATTGTTGTTAGATTATAATAAAGTTAAAAAAGAAACCACTCGGGATCCAATTCTCTCGAAGGTTATTAGCTATATTCGGGATGGGTGGCCAGGGGAATGTAATATTAAGGGTTTACAACCGTTTTTTAATTGTAAGAATGAATTATATGATGAAATAGTATAGGAAGTAATAGTAAAAAGAAATAGTACGGATATAGTAGAATAATGTGGGGGCAGAGACTAGTTCCGGGGGCCTGGAAGGAAAAAGTTTTATGTATGATTCACGAACCTCATATGGGCATTGTCAAATCCAAGGCTATATATAGGCTATAGGCTCGAAGCTATGTTTGGTGGGCCGGTGTGGACGAGGCGGTGGAGCGGATATGCCAGGAGTGCGAGATATGCGCGGCGCAGGCGGATGCTCCGCCAAAACAGACGCCTCGTATGTTGCAATGGCCCAATTGTCCTTGGTCAAGGATACATTTAGATTTTATGGGGCCCGTTTTTGGAAAAACGTACTTGGTAGGTGTCGATGCGATGTCAAAATGACTAGAAATCTATCAAGTAGCGAGTAAGGCAGCCACGGAGGTAACAGATAAGTTAAGGGAACTTTTCAGTCGTTGGGGACTACCCAAACAAATCTTTACGGACAACGGTCCCCCGTTCTCAAGTATAGAATTCAATAACTTCATGTGCAGTCACGGTAGCTCAGTATCACCCTGCTTCGAACGGGTTAGCTGAGACCGCGGTAAGAACCTTGAAGCGGGTTATAAAGAAAGCGGTGCAGTAAAAACAAAACATAGACAGGGCACTACAAACTTTTTTGCTATAATATTATAGTAATAAAGGAATACAGGGAAAACAGGATTTAGAAGGTGCAACGACACCAGAAAGACTTAGCCAAAGGAGGAGACGGGAAACTGAATCCTTCGGAAGATGTTTGGTATAGACAATACTTGAAAGGGGAAAAGTGGGGCAGTGGTCAAGTAGTAGACGTTAGGGGTCCTAACAGCTATACAATTAGGGAAAAAGGTGGCGAAATAATTCATAGACATATAGACCAATTGAAAAGGAGATCTTTAAGGACATCTATGATATGTCCTTACAATGATCCTCGGTCAGGTTGCAGCACAAATTCAACCAACGAGCCGACGGTGACACCAGAGGTGGGAAAGGCTCAGCCGGGTCGGTCGACGGATCGGGATGACCGTGGGGTGTTAGAAACCTCAGAGTCTGAAATCGGCTTAAAGGAGTCTGCAAGAGAGACGACCAGTGAGAACCCGGGTTCACAGGCGTATAAAGATACCTTGCCAAACGTTGTACCGCCGACAGAGCCTCGGAGTTGCCCTATATGGCAATGTAGACTCAAAAACCTTATTATTGATTAAACGCTGATACAATAATTAGCATAGTAATAAATAAGTGTAGAGGAGTGTAATGTAAGGTAGTAGTAGGTTAAGACTGATTATATAGGTGGCGGGTAAAGGGAGATAAGACAGCGAATTCATTGTGTAATAAACGGATAGAGATTGCGTTACGTTTTTTTGTGTTCTCTCTGACTTTTATATACATTACACTGCACATAAGCACTTTGGTATTGGACAAGTTTGGTCACTCGATGGTAATATACACGTCAAGTTGCCTTGTGGTAAGCGTCATCGACTGTCGGACACCAAGGACCTCTATGAGCTCGTTATACAATATCAAAAGCCTGCTGCATCGGATCGACCACCTGATTCTACAACAAAGTAAGTTACACCAAATGTTAGCAGCAGTAGTGCACCAAAGTCGACGGCGAAGTCAAAGCACATAATATGCAACAAATAACTCACATCGATTATAAATCATGAAAAAAACACAGGAACTCATATTTTATACAGTCCAATGTGTAAAAATGACGTTTTATATTATAATTTCGATATATCGTGAAAATGGCAAAGTTGTTTTCAACAAAAATGGCGTTGCTCAATAAACAATACATAAAAAACAAATAAATATATACCTATGATTGATTTAAATTTATTAGAGGCTCCTACCGAGTGTATATTATTACGATGTCGATATAACTTTGTTATATATATCTTAACTTTATGAAAATTCGAGTGTTTTTTTTTCTATATAGTAGTTATTTGAGTATAGTAATTTAGTATTTCATAATTCATATAATATGTAAATTTTATAAACTTTGTCTTATTACTTTTTTCGAGCTCCATGAAGACACAAACTGTTTACATGTGTGTACTACATACATTTTCAGAAAAAATTACGGAATTTGATGTTTTATAGTGTGACTCAGATGACGGCGATCTCAGCGAAGAAGAGAAGAAAAATTTTTACATAATAATGTTGTAAGTTATAATTATACTCTGGTCTTTGTTATAATTATAAATATGAGTGCATATAGTGGTTGTATAATGTGACTGAAGATTGAGGTCCCGGATTCAAATTCTGGGTCGGGTCAATAAAATTATTTAATGAGTTTTTCCGTCAAGAAATTCCCAGTAGCAGACCGGAGTCAGGAAGTTGGCGCTGTCTCACCCCCGCACCTCGAAAAGCATGTACAGCCATTGCTCCTGCGCCTGATCTCTCTCCTGTCATGTTGGTTTACTATCCCGTTGGTATTTTTGTACAATTTGTATTAAAACAACCTATAAATTATCTACACCTATCATATAACGTAGAGATGAAACAAATATATGAAAAGTGTCTCCGGTTTTTCTCACTTACTAATTAAAAAACAGCAGTGCTATCCTGGTCAATTAAACTCATGACCATAAAAATATGTTATATGTGTATCTAAAATGTCTTATCATACTTGTTTTTCAGGAGCAGGATATGCAGTTTGCAATTTGCATGCATGTTTGATGAACACGGACAGCAGTTGGAGTGTCCAAGTCTCCCTTTAGGACCCGCACCTTCCACTGAGCCAGCACAAGTAAATCCGCCGTCGCCAGTGTCACCATCTTTTTCGTAAGTTAATTTTGTATTATATTAATACTTTTTTCAAAAAAGTATGTTAGTAGAAGCTACTACAGTCTTTAAACTTTGTCTATATTCAATGAAAATTCTTCACTCTTCTTCTCAGAGATATTAAAAAGCCTCCGTCTTGGGAAGAACGAGTTAGAAACCTAGCGAGACTTTTGGTGAATAGAATTAATTAAGTTTATAGAATACAATTTGTATGAAGACATTTAGAAACAGCATGGTAGCAATCTCCTCATTCCAAGGATTATTATCAATCACATACTTTTAAGTAGTATAATAACCTTTACTAAACAAATTTTGCTTACTAAAAATTTAAACTGATTGATAAGGTCTTATATTTTCTGGCATTTTGTTGTATAAGCATATACCTACGTTGCCCCATGAAGGAATTATACTAACTCTTTGGAGTCTAGTAACTGTTGTAACTAGTTACTATTTTCATCTTTCATTCTGTCTAGTTAATTTGTATATAATTATTCTACTACACACATTTATGTATACTTAATAGTTTATAGGAGCCGTGGTAGCTAGGATGGTAGCTGGTTAGTTTCATTGTATTAATTCTTATTTGAATAGATAGTTTTATCTTTAAGGGCATTTATGTAGCAGTAATTTATTCGAATCGGATATTTAATTTAGAATTCACAGGTATAAAAATGCAATACATGAACCGTTCGACGCCGCGTCGCCGCGACGTTCCCTACTCTATGGAGTATTTTAACGGGACTTTTACTGGCAGATAACATGTTTTTTTATAGGATAGGGTGACAAACGAGCACACAGTCAATCTGATGGTAAGTGGTTGCTGCGGCCCATAGACATCTACATTTATCCACGATGGCAAATCAAAATGCACTATTAAGATGGAATGCCTCGTTTCCAGTAAAAAGGGTCTCCGGTTCTCTACACTCACCATACGAAACACAACAGCATTAAGCTACTATTGTTATAAGGAATAATTATGGTTCGCACAAATAAATTAAAACCCATGAAATCTAATGGTCATAAATTAATACGCAGGCGAAGTTGCGGGGAACAGCCAGTATTACATAAAATATGTATGAACTAAATGATATTTAATTTTATATTTGTCTTGCAGGCGAAATGTTCGTCCAGAAGTGGTCGTTGTCGTTGCGCGGTTATATGAGGAGAACGGCAACGAGTACTTGTTGGCGGACCAGCATGAACTATATCACGAGGAGGTGGTGGTGAGTTCGAGTGGTGGTGCTGTGCGAGGCGTGCGGCTCCCAGCGACGGCAGCAGCAGGCGAGCGTCAGGCACGAGGCGACCGCGGTGCTCGAGTCTCCGCCTCCTCATCGTGGTGGCGCGGCGACCACCTTGTACAAGTATGTGTGATAGACGATGATGTGCCTGAGGATTTGCGCAATAGGACTTTGATAGGGACACTCTAGAGCGGAGGGCCGAAAGGAGAAGGATGGAAGTAGATAATGATGATGTGGCGGATGACATTGGACATGCGGCCCTATTCGAAGGATATGCGACTTCTCTTCACTTTGATTGGCGCCCCATGGACTCCTTTCAAGGTGAAAAAAAGAAACATTTCTTCCGGAAAGAACAACAAGCCAACCACGCCATCCGGAAGTGCGTGTGAGGCATTCATGAGAGCATCATGTCTCATATAGTGACAGAAATAAACCGGTACGCTGTAGAACTGGCTTGTATCAATGATACTTTTGCACAAAATTGGTATGAAACAAATACACGTGAGCTATTTATCCTGTTCTCTTTTTTGGATGATGTTGGGAATCATCCATATGCCTTGCATAGCATCTTGTTTTTCTGAAAATTCTCTATTGAAGACCAATGTTTTCCGCCAATTGTTTTCACGCCATAGGTATCAAAATTTGTGCCGCGTTCTTCATTTTGTAAATAACGCAACACGTACACTTGATCCTCACCCTACCTTTCCTATTGAAGCATTTATAAATCATTTGAATTCCCGCTTTCAATCCGCTTATATTCTTAAACAGGAAATACGTATTGATGAGAGCTTAACTTTATGGAAAGGTAAACTCTCATTCAAACAATATACAAAGACTAAAGCGGCCCGATTCGGAATAAAAACTTTAGAATGAAGCTCTTGAAGAGGCTTTTAAATGTTACCATTCTTAATTCTAGAATCCACTGAAAAATCTTGCAACGAACGGTAACATCATTTGCCTTTTCGTTTACAATTAGTTCAAGACATTATTGATAAACACCTCCATCAAGTGCCGCACTGTCACCGTGAGATTAACCCATGTTCGCGACACATTCGCGACACAAGCGTCTCAAGGGCAGATCGCGACAGCGATTTGCCCTCGAGACGCTTGACGAACAGTGTTCGCTGGCCTATCAGATTTCAGCTTCAGCAGCAGCTTGTTTCACTCTATCGCCTATTAATCATAACTGACAACTAACATCACGGTGAAAAATAACGTTTTTGTCAATGTCTAATAAGTAATCGACGTGACAAAGTAAGTGATTTTTCACTGTTGTTTTTATAGACCTGTAACGTCGGTCATGGTTATTAAAAATAATAATTCCCCAAGCCTAGTTGCCTTTTACGACACAGGTCATATTCATATGGATATTCGTACATTACATTGTTTTGAGAAATTATCAATCACAGTGTAGGTAATGAAACGATCATTGATAAATTCTCAAAACATTTCACTTGCCAACGTGAATTGTCGACGTCTTGCAATCGTCGTGACTAGCGCTCACTTGACTTTCATACAAACAATTCGATATTTTAAGTGTTGAACTGGTAATTTCTCAAAACATTTTATTTATCGACAACATATTGCAATCTTCGGTACCCTAGCGCTGACTTTTAAAGAAAAAATATTGTCTTTGTCTTGAACATAGGTTTGACTAATTGGTTTATTAAACTGTCAAGTCAATCATGAGTGGTTAAATTACATCAAATTATCCCTATTTTTATGAGTTATTTTCACCTTTAGACTAATATAAATTGTCGGACTACTAGGAAGAAGGGTGTCCGATACTCGTTGCTAAAACTACGAAATACAGCATTATTATGCTATACGTCCTCAGAGGTGACAACGCATCTGCATTTTGATTCTTAATAGAGGATAAATGTAGATGTCTTTGAGGCACAGCATCCACTTACCATCAGGTGGACTGTTTGCTCCTTTAAATAATACTAGTTTTTACGGATTTTTTGCTCATTGAGTTTTATCGAGTCTGCAGTCTGTGAACATGTACAGGATAGCCTCCGTCACTACATTAGATTTGATAGACTACAAATCGTCCCTAAAGAACACCGATTCCTTTCAAGGATGATTCGCGAGGCTATTGAAATCAAAAAACATCCTAATTTCAATAGAGAAGATGGCTGGGTGCTACCATCTGCTTGGTATCCTATAATAAATAAAATCAAATCCCAACCCAGACATACAACTGCAAGCATTGAGTTATACAACACTAGAGGAGCAAAACACATTACCGCGCGTCGAAAAAAGTGTAACCACTAACCAAACGCGACGACGTAGCTTTGACTCTAATAACAATTTTAAATAAACATATATCTATCTCACTTACACAAGTTGCGAAAACAATATTGTCGCTAAGATTAGATAAAGATAGACACACAAACATTCGATGGCGGGTTGGTGTGGCTTACTATATAAAATTTTACCTAAAATACGCAATAAAAATGAGTTTTTTTAAACTGCAGTTAATTGTTTTTATATTAATAAAGTACATTTTATTTTAAAATCTTTATTGCGTCCCCTTAGAAAAAAAGGATACAAAGCTTATCAGATGAATAGAAGTAAACATAATGATGAAATAAAACATATTTTATAAGTATTTTTATTGTACTATTAAATCAAACAATATAAAATAGGTAATGAAATATAATTAATATAAAATTATTAATATAAAATAGGTAATAAAATACATTTAATAGATAATTCATGAATAAACTAAAATAAGAGTAATTATATTGTAGGAAAGTTAAAACGTAGTTTTTATTATTATTTCAGAAATATTTAAAATCAGAGGTAACAAATTAACTTACTCCATTAATTATATAGTCTCCCATTAATGTAGGATAATCACAAATGTGGAAAAGTGGCAACATTGAACCTAAATGGCAATATTCGATATTTTTATTTAATTATTCGAGGTTTTTAACGCGTATATGAAAACAAGAACTAAAAATTATGTGTTGAAAGTGATTCCGCTTGATTTATTACGTTTTTGTGACCTTGAATAAAACTCTTTCCCTACGCATTTACCCATTTTTTGTCGCGGCTCAACTCTGTCGGCGTCACATTGAACACTGAACTGACATTAGCCTGGCATATGGCTGTGGCCATATATGCAGTGGCAACGCTTTGGCGCGGTTATTACTGATCTAGTGTAATATATAAATCAATGACTGCAAGACTTCAAGATACCGTAAGTTCATACTGTGTAGATCGGAACAAAAGTTAAATATTAATCTATGGTAACTGCGGTTAACTATGACATCTGGACGTTCATCTCAGTCCCCCTTTGATCATGGGTGCTGTAAAGTGCTCGAAACGTCGGGTATTTAAAAAATTAAATATACGCGATAAAATCCGTAAAAACTGGTATTATTTAAATGGGTAGTGTTCGCGTATATATAAGAAATCATTGTGTGCTCGTTTGTCAGCCTTATTCTATAAACTAAAAAGTATTTTTTTATGTTTAACTGTTAATTGTGAAATAAAACACAGATTATTTTTAATAAAATAAAAACACGTTTTGCTTTGACGAGCACTCCACTGACTACTGAAGTCACGATTGAAATCACACAAAGTTCACAGATCATTAAGTCAACCTTAGTAATTATTTGTTGGCAACATTTTAAAATTCTTTGGCGACAATTGCCACGTATTAGTATTATATGCTCGTAAATCTCTACTATGTACGTTACTTATTAATTTGTGACAATGTACAACTGTTTGACCACATACTATTTTGTGTTTCAGGTTGGCAGAATTAACTTTAAACAATAAAATAAACACATATTAGGTTATAAATATTAGCTTAACGTATTTATATACAGATTTTTAATTTACTGTAGTTAACTTTGTAACTACATAGCAATTTTAATGAATAATAAAAAGAAAAGCTCGCTAATACAGTACCGAACGTACCATCCCCATACCTGGCTAAAGAGGGTCCTCGAGCTGTACAAGATTGACTGTACAATTAGACTTCCTCGAGCAGTGTATGGGGCAGTAGAGTACGATAGTCTGTCATCTAGGCGAGCGGATAACAGCTGCGGAAAGGCACATAAGGATAAGAAGGGGTATAATCCAGGGCGACTGTCTGCGTCCAATCTGGGTCGGGAAGGCTAGTACTTCTAAGTGCTCGTTTTTCCTGGCCTCATGACCTTCGTGCATCGGACGCGGGGGCGTCTGTTGCGCAGATGTAATTGGAGGCCGTGGAGGAAGGCGCGCTATGTGTTCTGGTGCGCCTTATCATCCTTTTGTTTTTTTTTGGATTATACTTTCACTTGTAATTTAGATTTTTTTTTACTAATTATGCTAAATAGATGGCTAATAATTTACTGTAACTATTATTTTATTTATTAGATAAAATTTACAGAAGGATTTATTGAACTTGTTTACTGACGCGATTTAATCCTTTATCCTTCTCTTTCAATCTAATAGAAATTCAATTGGAGTTTCTAAACTGAATTGGTGGAGCATTATGTTTATATTTTTATGAGTACTTGAAAGTGAGAAATAGTCCTAAAACTCGAGTTTATTTCTTCACCGAATCAATGGAAATAAAATATCTTTAATGATTCTTCCTTAAACGACGAAATTATTTTTTCTCTATTTTCATTACTGGTAATTTAGTAGAGTAAACAACGTCAAAAAGAAGCGTTCACACAGAATGTTTTATATGAGATATTTTTTGTACAAAATTTAAGTGACAAACGAACTTGCTGTCTACCTGATCTTACCTAAGTGGCTACTGTAGACTGTAGACTACGGACACCTGTCACCAACTTTAAATAACAAAGCTACAGGTGCGTAACTATCTGAAGAATAAGATGCAATGATGTAAATGCTCAAAGAATGTAATTAGTAATAATATGAACAATAACAATGCAATATAGTGCTAGTATAATACAATCATTACATTAAATTCACACTGGGAATTTGCGTAACAACACAACTTTAAATGTTTCATGCAAGGTTCCATTTGTATGTATGGACTATGGAAAAAAAGGCAAACGAGCATGTGCATGCCGCTCTTGATTATATGTATTTTTATTAGATGCACTTAAATTATGAATACAGATTTTTTTTTAGTAAAACACTATGATAGATGAAAGGTATCAACATGACGTGGATGAAAGTTAGAATCCTAATGAGACGTCTGGTATGTCAATCATTGG